GAGCAACAAGGCGCCCGAGTTCTCCGCACCTGCAGAGGCGGCAAAGATGACGGTCAACCAGCAGCACCTGAAGCAAGCGTGGGACACATCACAGATATCCACGCGGGACGACTGGGTGGAGTGGATGCGCCGCCTCTCGGTGGAGTTCATGAAGGAGTCACCGTCGCACGCTCTGCGGGCGTGCATGAGCTTGGTGGATGTCCACCCGCCCCTTGCGAAGGAGCTGTTCAACGCTGCGTTCATCTCGTGCTGGCGGGAGCTGTACGAGCAGTACCAGGTCCGTGATCACACTTTATATATCAACGCATAGCTCTTAACGTATGTCGTACAGGAGGACCTGGTCCGCGCAATCGACTATGCGATTACGTCCTCGACGGCGCCGTCAGATCTGATCCACAGGCTGCTCAACCTGTGTGAGTTTATGGAGCATGAGGACCAGCGGCTGCCGATAGAAAACGGCATCCTCGGCGAGTACGCGCTCAAGTACCACGCGTACGCCAAGGCGCTGCACTACAAGGAGCTCGAGTTCTTCACCGAGACATCGCCGTCGATCATCGAGGCGCTCATCGGGATCAACACGAAGCTGCAGCAGTCGGACGCGGCGTGGGGCACGCTCCTCGTCGCGCGCGAGCAGTACGACATCACGAAGCACGACCAGTGGTACGAGCGCCTCGGGCGGTGGCAGGAGGCTCTGCGCACGTATGAGCGGCGCGAGCAGGAGGACCCGGGCAACCCGGACATCGCGATCGGGCGCATGAAGTGTCTGCACGCGCTCGGCGAGTGGGACCAGCTCGCGGTGCAGGTCGAGGAGTACTGGGCGAGCGCGACGCACGAGGAACGCCGCGAGATTGCGCCGATGGCGGCTGCCGCTGCGTGGTCGCTCAACGACTGGGATTCGATGGACGACTACATCGCGACGATGAAGGCGGACTCGACCGACCGCGCGTTTTACCGCGCGATCTTGTCCGTGCATCAGAACCAGTTCCCGAAGGCGCTCGCGCATATCACCAAGGCCCGTGATCTGCTCGATCCCGAGCTCACGGGGCTCATTGGCGAGAGCTATGGGCGGTCATACAAGTGAGCGGGAGGCGGTCTTTGGCGCAGAGCATGCGTGGCTGACGTCGGCTGTTGTAGTGTCATGGTCCGCGCGCAGATGCTGTCCGAGCTCGAGGAGATCATCTCGTACAAGCAGTTTGCTGATCAGCCTGAGCGCCAGCAGACGATCAGGAAGACCTGGGTCAAGAGGTGCGCTCGCTCCGAATCTGGCTGCTCTCACCTGCTGAACCCAGTGTAGGTTGCAAGGATGCCAGCCCGACGTGGAAGTTTGGCAGCGGATCCTGCAGGTACGGACGCTGGTGCTCAGCCCGGACGACGACCCGGCGATGTGGATCAAGTTTGCGAACCTGTGCCGCAAGTCGGAGCGCATGCTGCTCGCGGAGAAGACGATCAACTCGCTCTTGTCGCAGGAGAGGGTGCGTAGTCTGCTGCGCGCCTGGTGCGGAAGCTGACAGCTCCTATGGGCGCAGCACCAGAAAGCCCCGCCGAACGTTGTGTATGCGCAGCTGAAGTACATGTGGGCGTCCGGCTCGAAGGAGGAGAGCTTGAACTTCCTCCGCCAGTTTGCCGCGAGCTTGTCGAAGGACCTCGAGTCAGAGACCACGCAGCGCGGGCAGCGGTCGGGCGTGTCGAAGCAGAAGCTGGACGAGCTCGCGAAGCTCCTGGCGCGCTGCTACTTCAAGCAAGGCGAGTGGCAGATGGAACTGTCGGACAGCTGGTCGACGGTACGCGAGTCAGCTGGACGTGGTTCTTGTTGATTTGCTCACCGGGGCCTTGCAGCGGAATGTGAAGGACATCCTCCACTCGTATCTCCTCGCCACGCATTACGACCCCAACTGGTACAAGGCATGGCACACCTGGGCGCTCGCGAACTTCGAAGTCGTGAACCACCTCCTCAACCAAGGGGAGGTCAAGACGCAAGATGTCATGGGCGCCACCTTGATTCCTCACATCAATCCTGCAATTCAAGGTAGGTTTACTGATCAGAACACGCCATTGAAATCGACTCACACGCAACCCCAGGATTCTTCCGCTCCATCGCGCTGCGCAGCGAGAATGCCCTCCAGGACACGCTCAGGCTCCTGACGCTGTGGTTCAAGTTCGGCGCCCACGACGACGTCAGTCAGACGATAGCTAGCGGCTTCAGCGCGGTTGAAGTCGACACGTGGCTCGAGGTCATCCCTCAGGTAAGTGCTGCTCCGGCTCGAGCGGCATCGGGTGTCTCATCACCTACGTCGTACAGATCATTGCGCGCATCCAGACTCCGAGCAACAACATCCGCAGGAATATCACGAGCCTGCTAACGGACGTCGGCAAGCATCACCCGCAGGCGCTGATCTATGCTCTTACCGTGGCGTCCAAATCACCGAGCGCCTCGCGAAAGAACGCCGCCCTCGCCATCATGGATCGCATGAAGGAGCATAGTCCCAACATCGTAGAACAGGTACGCCAGGACGTCTTGTGATGATAGCGCGCCTAACGAAAACACATGACGCTAGGCCCTTGTCGTCAGTCATGAGCTGATTCGTGTTGCGATTCTCTGGCACGAACAGTGGCACGAGAAACTGGAGGAGGCTTCACGTCAGTATTACACGGAACACAATCCGGAAGGTATGATTGCCGCTCTGGAGCCTCTCCACGAAGAACTCGAAAGGGTAAGCGCCGCTTAGGAGCCCGAGTCAGCTGGTTACTCACCGCATTGGTCGTAGGGGCCCCAAACCGCCCGGGAGACGTCGTTCATCCAAGCGTTCGGTCGCGAATTGCACGAGGCAAGAGAGGCGACGCGCCGGTACCAGAAGTACGGAGAGATCAAGGACTTGGACAATGCTTGGGACATCTACTTTGCGGTAAGCGGATCGCCCTCGATGCTGGACTAGGCATTTATGGATCCGTGCAGGTCTTCAAGAAAGTCGAGAAGCAATTACCACAGCTGACCACCCTCGACTTGCAGTACGTCTCACCAGAACTTCTCAAGGCCCGGAACCTAGAGCTCGCCGTTCCCGGTAAGCCTTGTTCCGAACCTTTGATCTGGGGTGCTTATCGGCGATGACAGGAACGTACCAAAGTGGCAGGCCGATTATCACAATCGCCAGCTTTGCCTCCAAGCTCTCGATCATCATATCCAAGCAGCGGCCTCGCCGGCTTTACCTGAAGGGCAGCGATGGAAAAGAATACCAATATGTCTTGAAGGGTATGTTGGCAATTACGGTTCTTGTCCGGTCTCGCAGCTCATCTACGACGCCCTGTAGGACACGAGGACTTGCGCCAAGACGAGCGTGTCATGCAACTGTTCAGTCTCGTGAATACGCTCTTATCGGTCGATACGGACAGCTTCAAGCGCCGCCTCCACATTCAACGATTCTCTGTTATCCCACTTGGGCCTCACGCCGGTCTTCTCGGCTGGGTGCACGACAGCGACACCCTGCATGTCCTAGTCCGCGACTACCGCGAGTCGCGCAAGGTGCTCCTCAACATCGAGTACCGGTTGATGCTCCAGGTGGGCAACTTTGTTCCTTTTTTGGTCCGATCGCAATCTGACGGGTTTCACAGATGGCGCCCGATTATGAGAATCTCATGCTTCTACAGAAGATCGAGGTGTTCGAGTATGCACTTGAGAATACCACGGGTCAGGACCTGTACCGCGTCCTGTGGCTGAAGAGCATCAACTCGGAACACTGGCTTGAGCGGCGCGCGACATTCACGCGATCTCTCGCGGTCAACAGCATGGCCGGCCACATCCTCGGACTCGGCGACCGGCACCCGTCCAATCTCATGCTCGAGCGCAAGACCGGCAAGGTCGTCCACATCGACTTTGGCGACTGCTTCGAGGTCGCGATGCATCGCGAGAAGTTCCCCGAAAAGATACCATTCCGGCTCACCCGCATGCTCACACACGCAATGGAAGTCAGCGGGATTGAGGGCAGCTACAGGAACACCTGCGAAATCTCTATGCGGGTTCTTCGTGACAACAAAGAATCGTTGATGGCTGTCCTGGAGGCATTCGTTTACGACCCTCTGATTAACTGGCGCTTGATGCCCACAAAGGCAGACAGTAGGCGCCTCCCTGGTAGGCACACATTCCTATCAATGGTTCTCTTCTCATGCAACGCCGCCAGGTGCTGACACGGGGAGAGCATCCGACTTGGCCCGTGTCAACGCTTATGCACAGGAGCCGCTTCGCAAACTCAAGGCCGACGAGAACGCTATTCTCAATGGTGCGTCAACGGTCGCTGAGAGGTTACCCATATCTAACCTCCCTTGCAGAGGCTCAGGAGCTGCGCAACGACCGGGCCCTGGCCGTCTACAATCGCGTACAGCACAAGCTTACAGGTTCGTCTACCTCCTACTTCTCCCCGATTCCACGATAATGATATCCCCCACAGGTCGCGATTTCAACCCCGATGTCGTTCTTACAGTACAAGCACAAGTAGACAAGCTCATCTTACAGGCCACGTCGCTAGAAAACCTCTGCCAATGCTTCTCAGGATGGTACGTCATGCACTTCATCACATCGCACTCTGCTCACCCGAGAACCAGGTGCGCGTTCTGGTGAACTGCATTTTCACCTGCGTTCGCCATAGACTACATCCGTATCGGAGCGGCGGTAGACGTTGTATCTCTACTTATCTCTCACTCGCTATCTAGATTGCTCTGCGGACTCGCCTCCCAATGATTCCCCACTTTGTATTTCAATAATGTACATGCAATGCAGCCGATTTTATCTCACTCCGCCTGCAGCCCGTGAGAGCGAGATCTTCAGAGCCGTCGCGGCGCATGACAACGAGGGCGATGCCATCAATGCGGTCATATAAAATAGTCAACCACATAATTCAAACAGCCAGCACTCAAGCCCTTGCAAGGCCTGTGGAACTGTAAACAGCTCGCGCGCACGTTGGCCGCGATCTGAGCATGGATCGAAAGCTCAGAGGAGATGGCAAAAAGCAGGGCCTGGCCGGGAATTGAACCCGGGACCTCCTCCAAATTGACTGCCCGAAGAAGGAATCATGCTACTAGACCATCAGGCCTAGAAGGGCCTGACCGGGAATTGAACCCGGGACCTCCTCCAACTTGCATCCCTAAGAAGGAATCATACTACTAGACCACCAGGCCTTGAATAGGGGCGGACATATATATTATATAAACCTGCCACTGACCATCTCGGGCTCCGCCGTAAGGCACAAGCTGAGGCTGCCCGCGCCTGGCTTTGTTCTCCTCTGAGTTCTGCATCACACCTCCGTCAACTTGAACATGGCTCATCGTTGCGGCTACTACGGCGCATACGCGCCTATTCATTTCCTACCCAAGCGTCGCCACCGATATTAGAGTAATGATACAACTAACATACAGACTGCGATCCTTACAGCACGCCGCGTGCTTTACTGACCCCGTCCTCGCCCATAACCTCTTCCGCGTCCCGCAAATCCGATCCTGAATATTCTACCGAGTCCGAACGTGCCGGCATCCGAAGGAAGAGAAGGTTCGCCAACGCTTTCGGGGAGTTCATTCCTATCACTGGGAGAGAATCGTCCACGCATACTCCGAGACGACTCCGCTCCTGAGTCCTCTCCGGAAGCGGTCGCGCCTTGGTCCTCTTTCTCAGGCTATACGTTACTCGCGTCAACGATCGAAGGGAACATGTGCACGTTGGAGCTGCGGCGCACCTCTAAATCAATGACCAGGGCGCCTGTGTGCCACCCTGCGGCTGTGGCTGCGAAGCAGAACTTCCGTCCGCCAACGTTCCGGCCATGATTGAAATTTACTGGGGCGGGCGCCGCAACGCTCGGAGGTTCGGGTGGGCCCCAATTGGATGCCCGTGCCCGCACGAGTTGATCTTCAGTCGCGTAACCGCCAGGCGCACCGACTGGGATTTCAGTAGGCACTCCAAGACCTAAGGCGCCATGAGAATATTGTCCCCATGTGAGCAGCTGCCCGTCGATGGTCAGCGCTCCGTTGTGATAATCTCCTAGGACAATCGATATGATCCCGCGATTCTGCAGCTCGGACACAATTTTCGGTGTGGAATCCGAGTGAGTCCCAACATCACCCATCAATATGACGGAGTTTTCCCCGGTTGAATAGGCGACAAATGCCTCATAATGTGCAGTGATCTAGGAAGGCTAGTTAGAAGTCAATCTCACAGATAGAAATCAAGGTCAAAGTCTTTACATGAGTGATCTTGAGGGCAGTTGGCGCTTCCAGATTGTTCCCGGCATACTCGAAGGCAGGATGGGCCGCAACCTTGGCGACTTCGCTGAAATTCGCCAACTGCATGATGCGTCAGCCGGGTATGTTGAAAATGTGAAGCAACCTCACGTATTGCCATCGCCCCGAAACGCTGAGACTCGTTTCGTTTGACAGATCCCCGAATTTGAGAACGTGTCCTTTGTTAGTCAATCCAATGAGGTGATTGTCAAACGCCGCAATCTTGATCAACATTGTTTCCGGAGCAGTCTCATTGTCTGATAGCTCGACGTTCTTTAGCTCCGGCAGCCGCGGTATCGGGGGTAGTCTTGTAGGGTCCGCGCGTAAAGGCCAAGTGACACAGGGGATACGGCGGTCCGAGGTGGCATTCGCATGGCTGTCGCCTCTTTGGTTCATCTCATCTTCTTGCTCTGCGTGTATACTACCGATTTGCCCAGAGAATGGCCAAAAGACGAGGACATCACCCGATTGAGTCAGGATCGAACAAAACGACCAGCCACTCTCGGCCTGCAAGGGAGTTGTATCCGGGGAATGACAATCCAGCATGGGCGAATCCAGCCTGAATGGTCGGCCCCAATTGACAAACGTCCAGATTTGAGCATTCGAATCGAGCGCCATGGTGTGCATCCGGCCGCAGCTGTCGATTGAGTTTATCAGGTGGTCGACCAATATGTTTCGCCATAACATGCCTGACAGTGCGAATGGGGTTGGGCATCAAAAGCTTGTGGGGAACCGAGGCTTCCTTATATTTCATGGAGAAACCTTCGCTGTTGAGAGCCATGCTCTCGCCATTCAATGTTCCTTGGCGCCGGTCAATGTATGAACCTGTATTCCAGTAGGTGCACGTACCCCAAACATACATCGAGCCCTGCGAATCGAGTGCGTGGAAGGACCTGTCGAGACCTCAGTAACCCGCAAAGAGATGGGTTGATGAGCAAGACCTACATGCCACCTGCAACCAGGCTCACAATCCTAGATCCTGGAAACTTGACTTCTATGGGATATGGGACACCTTCTCCAGTGTCTTTCGGGAGGGACGATACGCCAAGTCTTCCGTTCCTTCGTTCACTGAAGCAAGAACATTGTCACACCAATTCAACCCCAAGTATCACGATCGACGCACCCCCATACATACACCCTCGGATGGCTCAGGCCACGGTAGAGCTTCTTCCATCCGGTCTGTCTCGCGGTTTCCTGGCTTGTGAAGTTGAAGTCGGCTTCGCATTTCCTCTTCCAGAAAGTATCATCAGCACAGACGGCTGCGAAGAACTTATTTGCAGATCCTAGACTGAGGACGTCGCGCGGTGACGCCGCAGGCAGTAGATTGTCGAGTAAAACTTCGACTGGTAAGTCTGATAGTTGCATGGCGCGTTGGACGGAGAGTGGAGATGTAGAGAGTGGAGATCATGGTGCCGGCTGCGCATCGCTGCGATGCTCTGCGGGCGCAGTCGAGAGCGGCTACGTCATGCCTTCTAATTATGTAATTATTAGCCATGCGAGATATCCAAGTCACTTATCCCTAGGCTTACCTTCCACCATCACCCCGGGCGCCTCCAAGATCTCTCGCATCGCTCGGTGTGCGTTACAACACAAGCACGCGACACAAGCACAGCGACGCATGACACTGGATATCGACATTTCAGGCTGCTAGCATTCTCTTCGCTTTATCGGTCTCCATCCGTCACGCCTCTGTTCGATCTCGCCAGAGTTGCCCTGATAATCCCGTCTTTTCGAACTGGTGGCTTCTTTCCCGGGGCTCTACAAAATCCGACTCGGGGAAATTTGTGTGCGTTTCTTCGACTGCCCACGTCTAATAAGCTTGTCTGCCGGGACCGGTTGCTTGCGCACTGCCTGGCACCCCACTCGAAGGTGCGAAAGCGCTCTCTGGCTTCGCTAATCTTCTCAGCCAGCCAGCCACCCGTGCCTGTGCCCTGAGATGGGCACTCACGACGGGACGTCGGACGGAGCCAACATGTGCCCGCTTTCCCCGGGAGGTGCCTGAACAGCTGTCTTTCCTCCAGTGGTGCACGGCGACTTGCCCTGCCTTTCTTCTGTCACCTGGGTCCCACCCTTGGGAGTTGCCAGGATCACAATCGCCCCTTGGACCCTGATAGATGCTCTCATCAACAAAGTTTGCAAAAGAGGACTCCCGAATATTCCATGATGCGCGCTCTCCACGAACTTTGTTTTTTCCCTCTCTGGCCACCCCTTGTGACATTCAGTGTCCCGCTTTGGGCACGCCTTCATGCCTCCCGGTGTGCTACGGTTCGGGACTCGGCGCGCAATTCATGGGAATTGTTGTACCCCTTCCTCCCTGATCTGCCCTTGACGGGGCGCCTAACCCCGCAGTCGTCCTCAGGCTTCACGCTTCGATGGAGATAGCAGTTAGCGCCTGTCTATTGTATAGTTGCGGTCAGCAGCGCGAATGGGAATTTAGAGCCTGGGCCCCTGATCGCGTCGGGCTGCAATAGGCTGCAATAGTGCAAGCGCTCGGCGCCCGCTGCAAGCACATCACTGCAACCGCGTCAAGGTAGTCCACTGGAGTGCTTTAGGTGAGATGGCGTCAACAGCTGTCCATGGGCGGAGATCGTTCCAGTGGCACCCGCACTTTATGCGCATTCCGGAACATGAGAGCTCATAAGAGGCAATGAACATATCAGCTGAATTGGTTTTTTCACCTTCCTCGTGGTCGAGGTGCATGTTTTTCCGACGCTGTCGTGTGCCTCCTGCCCTTCTGAGTATGTGTTTGCGTAGGTGCTTATTGGCCTATAACAAGCGACGCACTGCGCCCACCGTCACCTTGAGACCCTTGGCGTAGAATCAATGCAGAGCTGGGGACTAGTTTCTATCCGTTACGTTTGTCGCATTCATCATGCGCATTTCACATGGAATACGCTTGTGCTTTCTACTTGAATATTCCTCGGCAAAGATCTCCCAGAGATATTTCGAACTCTTGTTCAAAGTTGCGAGCCATGGTCCAGTAATCATCCCGTGGTCTACAGTATGTCCCATGGATACTCGAAACTATAAATCCAATACCTAGAGCAATCCCATGTCCCAGTGCAGGCCTTCTATCAACTCTAAGCATCGCCTAAATAAAACCAACAACCCCACAGATACCACAGTCGACGCCTTGGCAGTCAGGGTTTCCGTCAAAGAAGCGCAGAAGCCAGTGCATTGTGATATCCGTGAGATTGCTTCTGGCATTTAGGGAGATTCAGGGCCAGGCTCGCCAGCTCATGTGACCTTGAAACTTCGGCGCGGGACCCAGGCTATTCACTTATCCCGCTTTAAACAGACCGAAAGAGCCTCTTACACTGAGACCTCGTCATTCAATACGTCGAAAGCGACCGCGAATGCGCGCCCGCGCGTCACCGGCCTTCGCTCCGAAGAGCCCCACCCGCCAATGCCTCCATCACGAAGATCATGATTACCATCGCCCACGAGACGAAGGATGTATGATGTAGTTACAACGCCGCGCAACCCACCCCGACTTCCACCCGCCGCTGCGCAGATGCGATCTCCAACCAATCGCGGCGTTGCACGGGCCTGCGAGCTTCCTCGCCCACCCCCACGGACGGGGGCTGCCCGAACCAGCGCACGGTGCCTGTGAACCTCGATCTCCCGCCGCATCTGCGACGGACCCAAGCGGCAACTCCCACCACCTGCGCGTCCGACCATCGCGCGACGCGCTCACACACCCCTTCTGCCACGGATTGCGTGCGCGCCGCCCGCGCCCTCGCAACTGGCCAGCATTCGTTGCCAGCTGACCTCTGCGCAGCGCGACAGTGATGTGCATCCCTGACGGCGGCCGCCAGTGCGC